TGTTACAGGGAAATCAAAAATTTTGTCAAAATTTTGAAAAATTTTTGGTCTTTACAATGACTTTGTACTTACATTTCTTCACATACATTATAAATTATCTGAATCGTATTCATTTTAGACCAAGACTTTTATTGCCCTGAATTTAACCCTGGATTTTATAAATGTATACTAGTAATGTAAATTTACATGTAATACGTTATTTCACTGACTAAAGTAAAATAAATGTAATAACTGTTTGCACAATCCCAGAGTAAACAGAATGTATGCAAAAGACACCACTGACATTCCCAAAGTAAAACGAATGTGTACAAATGATATCACTGACAATCCCAAAGTAAAAAGAATGTGCAAAAGACACCATTGACAATCCCCAAGTAAAAAGGATGTGTGCAAATGACACCACTGACAATCCCAAAGTAAAAAGTATGTAAGCATATGACACCACTGACAATCCCAAAGTATAAAGTATACATGCAATTCTTGCATTAGGTGATAATGCCTCATGAATTCTCTCAAAAACAGATCCAAATGCAACTAGCTTTCTCATTCAATATTGAAAAAGGTAGTTTCTAAGACTTGAAAGCTTTAACTAGCAATGAATAGGGTTTAAATCAGTCTGTTAAGATAAGGTAGCAATTATATTTAAAGACTTTCAATGATACAAAAACGCAGACTTTAATTCTGTCTTTGAGTCTGATGTAGGAATATTATTGCAACCGAGATATAGGGAAAACACAGCCTTACTTCCTGGGTATTCTAAACTGACCTAGTCTGATATGCACAGCAATACTTGAGCAAAACAAAAAACAAAAACAACAACCCAAAAACACCAGAAGTCTCTGACGAGACTGTAGCTCTACAGGTTTGAACTTATAACAAAGGAAGAGAAAAGTTTCACTTGGACTTGAAACCTTGCAACAGCAATAAATAGAATAATGATCCTTGGTTTAGTTTCTTTTTGTGGCAAGATTTATTGTAGTCAGAATAAAATTGTAGGAGGAGTAGCCTTTTAAAAGAATTTACAGAAATTTGGATTTTAGTACCCATGGCAACACCATTGATCAAAATAAAAAAAAACGATAAAAACAATTATATATCTCAGTGTAGTCTACTTGCATTCCCAGTTATATTAAAATCAGCTCAAACTATAGAAAAAGTAGTGATTTGAAAGTATTTCACAGAAAATTCTATTTTTAGTAACATGGCAACACCGTTCATCGAAATCAAAAACCGATACACAGAATAATGTATCTTAGTGTAGTCTACTTGTGTGCCTAGTTATATTGATATCAGACCAAAACTGTACATATGGAAAAATTGTGTTCATTCTTCTCATTTACATATCGGTCATATTGGAGCTATAATGGCGACAGATTCCATAAAGGTTTATACAGAGAACGAACAAAAACCCGAAGATTTTTATATACTATTTCGGATAAAGTTCTTCCGCCGATGATAAGATTTTTCTTAATATCACCTACCGGAAATGACAATATTGTTGATGCCAAAGTGAAAGTTGCGACCGCCTTTTTGATTTGAAATTTCGAAGCAAGAGTATAATGTTTTAATGAAGGAAAGAGCACAGAATTGATGTCTTTATCATTTTGGTGATTAAATGTAAGTGTTTATTGCAAGTTGACAGAGTTCTTCCACCGATTAATAGGTGCAGACGAATGCCTATTTTTATAAAATACAGATGATTTATCATTTCATGAAGAGTTACGATCGCCTTTTTAATTTGAACACGGCAATTTCTTGCATCATTGTGACCTACTTATTACCAAAAATAGATGGTTTCATGAGTTGTCAACTGTTAATAACCCAAAATTCTGCCCAAATAACTATGACGGAAGCTTTAAAAAACAAAACAAACTGTGCTTGCAGGTTTTAATATAAAAAAATTAAAGAAATGGAATATTTCGAGTTTATGCAGGATCTTATGAATATTAGTGAGAAGTAAATCATGTGGGAGCAACCTCATGAATAAACTGTACATCATTTCTCCATATGAGGAGGAGTAGCATTTTGAGAATTTGTTTACAGACAGACAGACGGACATCCTAGTATCTCATAAGCTCTTCAGGTCTCTGACCAGTAGAGTAAAAAATTATATTACTCCCTACGTATGCAGTTCTTGAAGTTTATATAGACACCTGTCCTTTTACATGCATGCCACTGCAGTATGTCCAGCAAGCATGAAACCAATAGCAATCACAGATGAAAATTTAAGATTGTTCACGTTAAATATCACGGGGAATACCATTTTTCCGTGCACTGAATAAGTATACATATAATTATTTTGTGTCTAAAAACCCTTTTTGGGGAAACCACGTGTTCTATTACTGTTTGATTAACGTGTATTCGTGCGTCTGATAAAAAATGTTGTATTTATAATTGGTTATAAAAATAATTTTTCTTGTTTACAAAGAATATTTATAGCAGTTTCATTTATCGTTCTAAGCATCCATATATGAGATATGTCCATATCTAATTACTGGAGTTGATTTCTGATATATTTTTGCTAGCGTGAATCGTTTGTATTGTACACAAAACCATTCATAAGCGTCCATAATTATGTAGTTTTAGGTGATCATTGTTGTTTGTGTAATAAGTACCTATCTAATCTGTGTTGATGCCAACGTCATTCTATGTACGTAGCACGTTGTACTTAAAACACTATGACTAAGGGATATCGACAAATTAAACCTTATGTAAAAGAGTGAACTATTTGCTTTCTGTTTTTCTGATTACTTTTCTTTTGTACAAATATGAGTGAATTACGAATGCTGTATGAACCGAGTGTTTATCATTTGTTTACTACTGCACTTCTGTATTTTCTCTTATCTAAAGTTTGAGATAATCTGCGATTTAGCTTAGGTAATTAATGGTGAAAGTACTACTCTCTTTTCTTCTTCAAAAGATCTTGATTCTCTTGTTTTTGTTTAATTTGACAGTAGAATGTTCTAACTCTGTTACGGCAGCAGTAAATACTGGTGATATGCTCTAATTTCAAGTCATATAGTAGCATACTTCAACTTTACATGTACCATACAAGATAGTTCCCCACATCAAGTTTATACCGTCACGGTAGTTCAGTTGGTAGAGCGCTCGCTCCCTGATCGGAAGGTCATGTGTTCGAATCACGGCTGCGACTGACCGAAGTCGATAAAAAATAGGTAGCAACTGTTCCTTCGCCAAGCGCTCGGCACTTCGAAGTGAAAGTTGCGGGTCTTTCGAATTCGGATGAAACCTTAAAAACCGAGGCCCCCGTGTCACGGTAGTCGTTGGCACGATAAAGAACCCCCACTGCTTAATGGCCCTGAGTGCCGAGTAAAAGGTCTAAATTTGAAGTCCTACACCGGTACATGGTGACGTCTCTATATGAGTGAAACATTTCCGAACGGGACGTAAATCAACATACAATCAATCAATCAATTTTATCCTAAGTACATTACTTCGCTTTCTTTTAATTCTTACATCACTATATTCGGGCTCGATCGGGAGGTACCGAGTTCGATTCTTTTCCCCGGTGTCACGTCAAACCCAAGAGATTAACATAGGTAGTGACTGTTCCTTCGCCAAGTATATGGCATAATAGTGAAGTCACGGGCCTTAAGAATGAGATCTTAAATACCGAGGCCCCGTGTTGGCAGGATAAAGAACCCTCCCAGCTCATTGGCCCTGGGTGTCGAGTAATTGTGTAGATTAAAAGACCTTTGCCAGTATATGGTGACGTCTTATACATGAAAAAGTCTCGCAAGGGACGTAAAACATTCAATCATGCAGTCAATCTATCTTCAAAATATTACCCTTGCTAACTGAAGTTCAATGTAACTAAAACTAAAGGTTCCGAATCAAGTTCATTTTTTATGCCAAGTTTTTATGTACATGTATCTTAAATATGTTGTTGAATATCAATTCTAGATGGATTAAGATGATTTCATCTACACTTTGATGAACAAAAAGGTATACCAGCCCCATCTGTAAGAGGGAGGGGGTATAATTAGTGAATTTTATAAAATGGATGACATCATGCAATATTCATACACGTTTTCAGCATACTTTGTTAGCCATGAAGATGACATTAAATGATTTTTAGCTTGCTATTAAAAAAAAAAGACTACTGAAAATATATCAAGTTAGGATTTTTTATTGCAAACAAATGTTTAAATTGAATAAAATTTACTTAAATCTTAATAACTAACCGATAAAATTATATTTCTTAAACCAGGTATACATAAACTATGTGGGACCTACATAGTATTGTATACTGACATACAGAACATATACAAACATATAACAACGTTAAAAATGAAAAAATTACTTTGTATTTCAACGTTACACATGTTGATTGTAAACATTGAAACCTGTCATCTTTCTATACCGAAATCCGTATTGAAAATAAGACAAAGGAAAATACTGCATCAAACTGGAAATCTTAAATAAACTCTATGAAAGACTTATAAAAGTGTTCTTGCAGAAGAATTTAATGGCGTTAACAATGTGGTTTTTTTATATCAACGTTTCTTACCTATTAGCATATAATTTAAATCTAACGTCATTTTATTTTTAACGTCATCTTAGCACAGGGTTAAAACAGGCCTGTGCGAAGCCATTTCATTAGGGGGGAGGGGGGCTACCATAAATTCTTGTCAAAAAGACGTTTTGGGGGGAAGCACAACTTCAAGCTTTGGTTTTTATCGTTAGCAATATCTTCAAGTTTACATGTCAAAAACCAAAGTAAAACTGTATTTCTTGATAAAACAAAAATGAAGTAAGTAAAGGAAAAAATAAGATGTTCCAGCTGCAGTTGTAATTAAATCATCAAAATATAAAATGACCAGGGCCGAGTATAATGATTTCCCATTAAATATTATCATTAACCAGCAACTATACTTTTTCTTCTTGCTACAGTTAGAACATAACCATTTTGTTTTCCATAAACATTTGTTATAAAAAAAATTTAATATACACACTATGGAAAAAAGAAACTAAGGCAGAATTTCAGTTGCACTGCAAAATCACTGAGTGAACCTCTTTGAAAAATTGCAACAAACAACACTCTTTTCTAATAAAAACGTCACACAACAGTTCCACTCCCCTCCGTTTTAGTGGACTGTCTATTTAAGAGCTGGGAACTCGAGGAATCAGTTTTTAATCTTTTATTCCTCTTTTCCTCGTAGCTTTTCGCAAAGCATTCGATGTACATATGGTAAAAATCCCGTCTGAATTTTTCACCACATAGCAAATATATAAATAAATTAATAGCATAACTTAGGTAGTATAAGGTATAAAATAGTTTCTGTAATACCATCTCGGTTGTTGTAAAATGGGAGCGCTTCATTATGTATTTGGATAAAGCCATTATAGTTCGAATGACATGACTTGGTAGATTAAGAGCTAAAAACACAAGAGAAACAGTAAACAAAAGTTTCGTAACTTTTGAATGGTTTCTCGACCTCTTGTTCTCTGATCTTTTTCCTTTGAGTCTTCGAAAACGATGGTAGCTTCTGAACAAATTGAAAGTGATGGTGACCATCAGAAATGTTATAAGCAGAGCAGGAAGTACTAGCGTCAAGGCTGTATCCATGTGTACAAACATTTGAAATAACTCGTCAAAGCGTGGAATCTCTGTGCAGCGCCCATCAGATACTCTCAATGTCCACAGTGGAAAACTGTACAAGGCAAGAGCTAAAATAAAGAAACCGCTGATGACGAGTTTCGATATTTTGGGGGTACAATACTCCATTACAGAAAACGGATGGCAGATTCGAATATAATTTTCGGCTGTGACAATTACAACAAACCAAACAGATAAAAATCCACAGATGTAAGAGAGGAAGATAGTCAATTGACAACCTCCTGGAGAGTTTAAAATAGCTATGTCCGTTACGTCTGTTATCCACACAATGATGAGTGAAATCAAGAAACCAATGTCCGAAACGGAACGAGCAGCTAGGTAGAGGCAACAGGAAGTAGAACGCTGGGACTTACTGAGGAAAACGGTGAGAGCAAAAATACTCCCAATGAGCCCAACGAAACAAAAAACTGGATTAGAAAACTTCTGTATTTTTGAGAAGATTTTTACGACATTGTCTGGTTCTGGGTCTTGTAGCATGCTAAAGTTTGACGTCGTATTCATCCTGAGGATTTTTTAGAAGAAAAATATCTTGAATAAGACCTGAAAGAATACCAAAAAATACTAACATTTAAATAAAGAATGAAATATTTCCTTCTGCTCTAAATTAAATGATTAGCATATAGACATATGTACTATGATAATGTACTACCTTAAGGACTGCTTATAAAGGAAAATAGCGAGTTTCAAGTTGATATCTTTGTACACGTACCTTATATCGTATATTTGATATATAACAGGTGCCTGTTCTACTGCAAGATCAATAAATTATCACCTTTGCATGTTATTTTCCCTTTTCAACACCTCTAATTATTTTGCGGAAATCATCGTATTATTCTTAAGGTTATGCAACAGTATCACGTTCTATCGGGATAAGTGGGCTTAACCGTACTAATGATCACTAAAACTCTTAAGAATTATTCACACATCAATCTGATTAGATCGTAAATTACTATGTCCAATACCCCGAGAGAAAAATCAATTCTTACGATTATATCCTTCTCAAACATAATTTTAATTGAAAACTATATCTTAAAGGGGCTGGTCTTGCAATTGATAGCATTGCCGTTTTTGTGATCAATTTTAAATTTCTATTTTTTTTAAATAACCCTATTTTAATGAATTGAACTTGCATGAAAATTCTTAAAATTCAATGAAAAAGCATTCTTCATAAAATCATGTCAAACACCTGTATTTTTAAGACTGTTATTGTTATGTTTACGTTTAACCGGATGTTTTCAATTTGCTTACTCTGCACACATCACTGAGTTTGACTGACGATACTAATGAATTTGTTTCGCTCTCTAATATAATTTTAAAAATTTTTAATTAATTAACAACAAATTTCCCACTTTTACTTAAATATTATTGATAACATTTAATTTGTGAAAGTGCGAAGATGTGTGTCAATTAAATGCGTCCCGAAATTTGTAATTTTAATACTTTCAAGATAAAAGAAGTTTCCAAACATGCTTTTATCAAATTTTTGTGTCAAATTCTCTAGAAAAAAAAAAATCATTTTTACTTGCTGAAATAATTTCAAAAAATATTCACTTCCAGTCTTGTGTCCAGGCCCCTTTAAAAATAGGCGCCAAGAAATCAGAGACAATGTTTAATTTTAATATCAATTTTAAAAAATATGAGAAATACCATTAATATATATATATATATATATATATATATATATATATATATATATATATATATATATATATATGTATGTATCTTAATCATATTTTATTTCATATAACAGTGCTGTTTACTTTCAATAAGTCCATGATGAAATTTGCTTGCCTTACATGCCAAGTTGATTTGTTTGAAACGTTTGAAAGCTGATTTTTCCCCCTCATTTTTTTTTTGTTTTGTTTTTGGATTTTTAGCTCACCTGAGCTGAAAGCTAAAGTGAGCTTTTCTGATCACCCGTTGTCCGTCGTCCGTCCGTCTGTCTGTCCGTCCGTCTGTAAACTTTTCACATTTTCAACTTCTTCTCAAGAACCACTGGGCCAATTTTAACCAAACTTGGTAAGTTTAAATTCTTAAAATAAAGGGCCAAGTCCCATTACAAGGGGAGATAATCAAGAAAAGACAAAAATAGGGTGGGGTCATTAAAAAATCTTCTTCTCAAGAACCACTGAGCCAGAAAAGCTGAAACTTATGTGGAAGCATCCTGGGATAGTGTAAATTCTAAATTGTTAAAATCATGACCCCCTGGGGTAGGGCGGGGCCACAATAGGGAATCCAAGTTTTACATTGAAATATATAGGAAAAATCTTTAAAAATCTTCTTCTCAAGATCCACTGAGCCAGAAAAGCTGAAACTTATGTGGAAGCATCCTGGGATAGTGTAGATTCTAAATTGTTAAAATCATGACCCCGGGGGTAGGGCGGGGCCTCAATAGGGAATCCAAGTTTTACATTGAAATATATAGGAAAAATCTTTAAAAATCTTCTTCTCAAGATCCACTGGGCCAGAAAAGCTGAAACTTATGTGGAAGCATCCTGGGATAGTGTAGATTCTAAATTGTTAAAATCATGACCCCCGGGGGAAGGACGGGGCCCCAATAGGGAATCCAAGTTTTACATTGAAATATATAGGAAAAATCTTTAAAAATCTTCTTCTCAAGATCCACTGAGCCAGAAAAGCTGAAACTTATGTGGAAGCATCCTGGGATAGTGTAGATTCTAAATTGTTAAAATCATGACCCCCGGGGGTAGGGCGGGGCCACAATAGGGAATCCAAGTTTTACATTGAAATATATAGGAACAATCTTTAAAAATCTTCTTCTCAAGAACCACTGTGCCAGAAAAGCCTAAACTTGTGTGGAAGCATTCTGAGGTAGTGTAGATTTAAAATTGGTCAAATCATGACCCCCGGAGGTAGGGCAGGGCCACAATAAGGAATCCAAGTTTTACATTGAAATATATAGGAAGAATCTTTAAAAATCTTCTTCTCAAGAACCACTGAGCCAGAAAAGCTGAAACTTAAGTGGAAGCATCCTGGGGTAGTGTAGATTCTAAATTGGTCAAATCATGACCCCCGGGGGTAGGGCGGGGCCACAATAGGGAATACAAGTTTTACATTGAAATATATAGGAAGAATCTTTAAAAATCTTCTTCTCAAGAACCACTGAGCCAGAAAAGCTGAAACTTAAGTGGAAGCATCCTGGGGTAGTGTAGATTCTAAATTGTTCAAATCATGGCCCCCGGGGGTAGGGCAGGGCCACAATTCGTATTACAAGGGGGGAAGTCTGGTAATGAACAGCAGGGCCAAAGTTACTCAGGTGAGCGATGTGGCCCATGGGCCTCTTGTTTTTTTGCTTTGTTTTGTTTTGTTTTTGCCAGGTAGTAAGCTAAAAGAAGAAAGAATTTGTGGTAAATTGTAAAAATACAGTCACTGCTTGGTTTACTCTTCGTGAACAAGAATCAATCTAATTTCTCATCTGAGAAACGCCAAACTGGGGAAAGCATTAATTCTCTTTGTATCGAGATCACAGAGCTTATATTTGAACAAAATAGAACTTCCATGATTGCAGTTAAGCATGCATTTTTCCTCTTGCCACATCTCTAAAGTTCTATTTTCAAAATGAGTGTTTTGAAAATCTCTGATTGCTTACATTGTATGTTATAGACTACTTTGCAGGAATTTTTACGTTATATACGTGTATAATTGACAAAATAAAATATCAGCGTTAGCCTAACATAATAACGTACAAGGGAAATAAAATTTTTATAATAATACTGCTAATATGTCATGGTCGCCCGCGTGGCGCAGTGGTAGAGCGTCTGCTCTAGAGTCGCGGAGTAAGGAGTTGATCTTTACGTCGCGGGTTCGAATCCCACTGTAGGACGTGGAGACCGGTCCTTATGAGACCGTATAAACTGGGGTCTCGTGTCGCAGTAGGTGCTGGCACGAAAAAGATCCCTCCCTGCTCAATGGCCCTAAGTGCCGAGCATAGGTCAGTATTTTCAGCTCTCCATCGGCAAATGGGGGCGTCTCCATATGAGTGAAAAATTCTCGAGAGGGACGTTTAACAACAAACAAAAGCTAATATATCATGTAGGTTTTTTAAAAAAATTCGGATTTCCAACGTTTCGGCATTAGCATCACTGAAGAGACATAGTTTGTCGAAATGCACATCTAATGCATCAAAATTGGTACTGTATAAGATTTACATCATTAATACCGCTAATATATCTTATATTCCACTATTAAAAATTAAAATATATTACTCAGCAGGGGAAACCTACATATATGAAATTAGATGCAGACAATTCAATGTGGAATACCATAAGAAGGATTGATAGGAATACACTGTCACATAGCAGCTGCTCCAACGACATATTTATGCAATGCTCTCATCCTTTCTACGTTTGTTAATAAGGATACTTCCGCCAACAAAGCATGAGGAGGCTATGTATTTTTTTTTCTTTGTCAGATTTAGTGGTGTAAAGCTGGCTCTTCCAGAAATCAGATTTTTTAAATGAAATTTAATAACATGCTAGGATTTTTTTTTTACCAATTAAGCAAGGAAGCGTTAAAAGGGGATTTAGCCAGAAATCATGCCGATTAAGGAACTGTTTTCAAAGATATTGTAAAATGCTTTTTCTCAGGATTTCACATACTAAGAGAAAGATACTAGTAAATCATTGTTTAAAATGTCGGGTAGGTGAAATACTTATTCTCAACTGTAACCGTAACAGGATTTTGTATCCATACTATATCGAGACAGAACCAGCTATACAGATGAAATACATGTATGCTCTGAATCTTACCCCATTACAAGGAAGGTTTGCCTATCCTGGCAGTGGGTATAGGTATTTATGTCCGCGAGCTTATCCTGCTTGTACAGATACATGTAGCTTCGCTCGGCTAATTTTATATTTCTTTTAAAATCAGTAAAGGTAGTTTATTTATTGGGTAAAACATTGTTTCATTAGTAAATAGGTTCTACATTAGTTTAACATGGAGATCGATCGTAATTTGACAGATTATCACTTTTTTATGAATGGAAGGAATGTTCGTGATATGTCAAAGGCTCTGCAACCTATCGGACATAGTGGTCGATAATGAACTGCCAAGTGCTTTTGAAAGATTGGTCGATAAACTCATAAAAGTTACATCTTCATATTCTGCACCAGAAAATATTACATGCAGAAACACTAGGAATCAATCCATAGAGATGAAGACAAAAAATCCCAACGCTTTTCTATAAATAATGTAAAGGAAAAAATATACCGTTAGTAACAAAAGCAAGGTGCGAGAGAAATGCATTTGATGACATGATATTAGTTTTTCGATTACTTTTTACTGGATAACGTCGATGCAAATTTGACAAAAAAATGTCTCTTGAAATATACATGATAGCAATTTCTAAAATAATTATTATTTTCCAAATTACAAGACAACAATTACAAGATTTGCAAAGAAAATGATGATTATAAAAAGGGTCAACGAAGACCACGATTTGCGAGTTTTATTTATTTATTTTTTTACACTACTTACTTAATTCCTATTTAATTTGACCACTGATGTGATAA